GTGCTTATAAATTATTAAGAACTACTTCTGAGCCAGGGATACAGCTCACCAACATAGCACCTATCTGGCAAGCACAAGGTCCTGAGTTGCTTTCTCGTTACCAAAAAAAGAATTGTATCTGCCAGGCATAGTGGTTCATGCCTGTAATCCCAGCACTCAAAAGGCTAAACCAGTCTGAACTATTTATTTAGCAAGACTCTGGCTCACCCCTGTCTCCCAAATCAAGTCATTTCTTCTTTTAGGGAAGAGCACACCTATCTTTTTACCTGTCACCATTTTACAAAGTGAAAATCAGTACAATATTATATATCCATAGACTACTGCTGAGATTTTCAAGCCCGTTCCTCCACATAAACTAAACCAAGAGCCTCGATATGCTAAGCATGTGCACTATCTACAGGGCTACACCGAAACCCTCAAACCATTTTCTAAACTGGTGGCACATGCCTATAATCCCAGCACCAGGGAGGCCAAGAGTTCAAGGCCTGCCTGAGCTACAAAGCAAGTTCAAGGCCAGCATGAGCTGCATAGTGAAACCCTTTCTCAAATCATTTAAAATGCCATACTCTGGGGCCAAAGATGTAGTTCAGCAGGGCAACACCTGCCTGGCAAATGCAAAGTCTTGAGTTCAATTCGTGGTACCAAAAAATATTTTAAATGCCATGTTCTTCACAGTTTAAAAAAAAAAAGTAAAAATGAAAAAGCTTCAAACTGTTCACTACAGGGTTTATCTCCCCCTTCAAAACATTGCAGTTGCATTATTTAAAGGTGAAGTATAGAATACGATTATTTCTAAAATTTTGCTTCATTAAACAGCTAAAATTTGGTAGGCAAACCAGCGCCCCTCTCCCCCGTCTCCGAGTAATTGTGCCAAAGATCAAACCTGGGTCTCAGATACGTTAGTACGCCCAACCCTTAATGACTTTTTAAGTTGGTTACTAGTAGTAATACTAGATGCATGGTTTGAGAAACACACTATTGAATAATGATAGGACTTCTCTGTAATGATTTTAATACTTTATTGCTATCTATACTGGTCATATATGTAAAGCAAATAATGGCTTCTGGTGATTTTAAACATTCCTGAATGATAAACCAGGGTGATACACTTGACAGCTGCTTTACATAATCCATACAATATTATTTAGATACAGAAATTCAGAGCTAAAAGGTAAATCTTAATATAGTGTATTTAAAACATCTCTCTTAAATTTGACATTTCCCAGGGGACACTAGCACAATCTTGACTAGTAATTAGTGAACGACTACAACTACAAACAGTAATGGGACCAGGAGAAAAAAATTTCTTTAAGAAAAGTCAAACACAAATCTACCAATGTACCTTATGTTCAGGCCTGAGCCAAGTTTTAAAACTGTTCAGTTATATGAATGCAATTACAAAGTTTACCAAAATCAGTGAAATAATTTATAAGGAAAGCAAGTTCATATGTTAATGTTACATTTTCTTCAATTACTTAGTACAGAAAACAGTTAAGGGCTTGCAGGCAAATGCAATACCATTTTTATTTTTCACAGTTACATTGAAGTCAGTCAAATATTAAATAACTTAATTCCAAAGTGTCACTTACACACACAAACTACTAGTAACAGCATGACCTGTAGCTTGAAAAACAAAGGACAAAATATTATACTTATTTACATATTGCCCATAACACTGATGGACTTTTAAAATTGTTTAAAAAATCTAAAGAATGAATTGTAACAGTGCCACCTAAGTCACATCTTATCATCAGACATCACTTTCTTTGAAACAATTCAGCTAATAAGACTGAAGGTTGAACTTCATCCTGAAGTATGAAGAACTTTAAAAAACAAAAACCTATAACTATTTAAATACAATAAAATCATGCTTCCATGAGTATCATTTAAAAATGAGTAACAAAGAGCACAATGTTTTTTACTTTTATTCACAACACTGCATACAAATGTAAACTTTCTGAAAGTTTTTTTATCCTTCTAGATATGTCTTTCCTCTTAAATAACTATGAGGCTTTCTAATGAAAAGCCTTAATCATGTATTTTTTGTTGTTGAATAAATGCACTTATTTTGGGAAATTTTAAAAATAAGTAATAGGTTTCCCTATTGTTTGGAATAATCACTCTTAAAGGTTGTTTTCTACTTAGTTCTCTTTTATGAGATTCCGATTTAGTTCTTTAAGTAAAGCTATTTAGTTCTCTTATGTAAAGAGCCATAAATTGGTAGGCTATTCTTTACCTACAATCACTCCTACAGAGGATAGAATATTTTAAAAATAAACAATATGTTGAAAAGTGGAAGGACCAATTTAAAGCTCTGGCCTAGCAAATAAGCCTAGGAGAAGACTAAATGACTTTCACAGTTTTATTAATAACTCTTCATTTTAGCACACTTGGGCCTAGTAAGATAACATTCTCTGTTTTATACAAAATGCCTTAGAAGAAAAGTTTTAGTAAAACATTGTATAAAATATTCACTTTATACTTTATAGTTCTTTGCATTACAGATGTTCTGTTGCACTGAACATTGAAGTAATCCTAGTACTCCCAAATGCAGTTTATGCTGTTTCATTAAGCAACTGCCATGTCTCCAACTAGCCAAAATTCAGTGAAAAGGCAAGTTAAAGAAGTTAGGACTTCCTTGCTCTACACAGGCTATACTAGGCACTCGGTATACGTTATTCACTGGGATAAACAAAACCTTCACTTATCCTTTGACTGTGACAACTTTTTCCCAATATTGGGGTAAAATATAATATGGAAATCTTAAAAATTTCTAGTTAATCGAACCTATTCTGCTATGACAATTCAAATTTTGTCACAGAGTAATTTTTTAAAAGCAGTAACATACTTCGTTCCCAGTGCAAGATTCTTTTCTATGTGCATCCTTAATCAACTACTGTATTTGTGATGTAGAATTTCTTATATATTACGTGCAAAATAAGTCTTAACCACAAACCTAAACAATTGTGGCACCTGAAATCAAGCAACATCCAATACTCCAGCTGCTACAAGTTGCCGTGAGAGCCAGTCCAATCCTTCATGCAGCCCCATACCACTGCGAGCATCACAGCCCTGAATAAACCAGCTACGGCCACAGCATAGCTTATGGAGACTGAGAAGTTCAGTGATTTCTTCTACTGACAGTGCTCCAGCAACATCCTGAAAGACATTTTACAGTATATAGCATATTTTTCAATCCATTCTAATTTTCATTTTCTAATTATTTATATAGAAATCAATAGAATTCTAACAGAAACCTAAACAAAAGTTAAAAATCAATATTCATCCTTCAATAATTATCCTGAAAGTACTAATAGGAAAAAAAGTAGTTTTGGCTAAAATGTGTGTGTTTGTGTATGTAATATATCAGTGCACATATCACTCTAAGACATCATTTAACAAAAATGAAATTAATACATGTAGAGCTATTAAAAAATGGGTTTATACAGGGTTTATATAATGAAGAGTTTATACTTCACACTTGAAACACCTTTTGTTCCTACTTCTCAGAAACAGTGATCAGTAACAGTGTCTTATGTAGTTTTTGAGAAAATTTGCATGCATATTGAAGTACATAATCACACAAAAAACCACATACTTTAGACTTTGTATAACTTGCAGGGATTATTATTACTATTATTATGTCTTTTTGAGACATGGTCTCACTATATAGTTCAGGCTGGTCATGGGCTCCAACTTGTAATGATCCTCCTGCCTGTACCTCTGCAGTGCTGGAATTACATGCATGCACCACCATGGCAGCGTTTTTTGGGTTTTTTTTTTTTTTTTTTTTTTTTGGTGGAATTGGGGATTGAACTCAAGCCCTTACACTTGCCAGGCAAGCGCTTAATCTACTGAGCTATCTCCCAGGCCCCCCATGTCAGCTTATAACTTGCAGGATTCTTTTTTTAGTTAACATGTTGTGTTAAAGATAAAACTCTTACCTTATCAGCATATGCAGATTTTCTACATTATTCTAACATGAAAACTGAATTCCACTGTGTAGATGCAGTACAATTTATATAGCAGTCCTATACTGAATATTTACTGAAGTCATGCTCACATGCTACTAAAAAATCTTTATGGGGTTGGGGAGATAGCTCAGAGGTCTCAGTGTCTGCCTGGCAAGTGCAAAGACCCAAGTTCGATCCTTAGTACCACATGCCATGCTGGCTCCAAAACTGGGTGTGGTGGCACACATCTGTGATCCCAGTGCTGGTGAGGCTAAACTACATAGGGAGACTATGTATCAAAGAAATACATAAATTTAAAAATCTTTATGTATCATTGTGTTCATTTCTGTGAGTTCTATATCTAAGGATTCAACCAACAGATTGAAAATATTTAAAAACAAAACAAAACAAAAACCACCTACATTGGTACTGAGCATGTACAGCTGTTTTTTTTACTTATCATTTTCCCCTGAATAACAAAATTTAGCCAGACATGGTGGCACATCAGAGACTGAGGCACAGTCTCTGGCACATCATGAGTTACGAGGTCAGCTAGGGCTACACATTGAGTTCAAGACCAGCCTGAAACTATATAGTGGGACTCCGTCTCAAAAAACTAACAAAAAAAGCACAAAAAGTAAATCTAAAATCAATTAATAGTAATGAAGTTTAATTATTAACGAAGAACTTACATTGTATTAGGTATTATAAGTAATCTACAGGAGACTTAAAGTATACAGGAGGATGTGTATGGCTTAAATGCAAATACTATGCTGTTAGTGCCAGGAATTTATCTCAGTGGCACAGCACCTGGCTGGCAAGCATGAGGTCATGGGTTCAATTCCTGGTACCAAGAAAAACAAAAGATACTATTCTGTTTTGTAAAAAGGACTTCATCATCCAAAGATTGTAGTAGTTACAAGAGGTCCTAGGAGCAATCCCATGGATACTTGGGGGAGACTGTATGTACATACATATAACACACTCATACATGTATGTATATATGTGTTTATATAACATTTACAAAATGACTTGTAGGCTTACCTTTGGATATCTGTTTATAGGACACATTACTGTAGATTTTTAGGGTATGTGCATCCAGTACTCTTGACAGATACTGTCAAAGTGTGCTCTAAGAAAATGCTCTGGGCTAGGGATATGGATCAGTGGTAGAGCACTTGCTTAGCATGTATGAGTTTGAGCATCAAGACCAAAAAATATCTCAATTTGATAACCACACCAACAGTGTATATGGGACTACGTCTTCTATAATAATTTCATTATTAATAACCTGGTAAGTGTCTTGTTTGCATGTCATCCAGGAGCATCAAGATCACAAGAAAATTCTTTCCTCATTCTATTGTTACCCTCTTCTGATATATTGCTATTGGACTTCACTTGTACTTGACTCCTACATATATTTAAAATCATGCTAATCCTAGAAGCTGGATCTCAAGATCCAGGAATCTTCAGATACAGTGCTTGCAATGCTTCATTATCCTCATTCAGTCACTAAATTTTAACATATCTACCTCCACACCATCTCTCTGGTCTACTTCTGCCTTTCTCTAATTCTAGGGCTTGTTAACTGTCACATGAATAATTTCAAAAGTGGACTGGATTTTATTATTTACTCTCTTCCCCTATTTCATTGCACATTCTACCCCCGAATTAGTCTCAAACGCTGATATGTTTCTTCACTCACCAGTCCAAAAACACTCTGATAATTATTATTTTCTCATAGACTGAAACCTAAAGTAACTGCACCTATTATTCTAGATTTTTTTCATCATCCTCTACCTGCACCTCACATAATAGGTGTGTTTGATGCTCCCTGAAAACTATTATTTTTTCTGCCTGTAATGTTCTTTTCTTTACATTCAAATTCCTACACATAATTTCAATTCTAATCTTCATTTCACCTCAAATCCTACTTTTTACAAATCTTGCAGGATCTTGCTTTTATAGCCTTCCTGTATTTCTCCAAACCCTTTTCCACTATCTTGCTTTTTCCTCATAATGCTTTGTTAATGTTAATAATGTTACTTCCAGATTTGTGGGAAAATTTCATAGGTGTTCACAAACATATACTACAATCTCTGAGTATATGGTCATTGAGAGCTTTAATCACCTTGTTTTGTATATTTCAAGGTACCCGGCACTTTTCATATAGATGTATTTAAAATATACAGAAATTTTATAAATTTCTTCTAAAATGGCTCTCTTAAAATCTTTTCAGCTACTTTATGATACAGAATACACAAAACTACAAAAAATAAGCACTCTAATAAACATGTATTACCTGTTTGTTAGCAAAAATCAGGAGCAAAGCATCTCGGAGTTCTTTTTCGGTTAATAACTTTGCAAGTTCACTGTGTGCTTCATTAATTCTGTCTCTATGACTGCTATCAACAACAAATACGACAGCTACCAAAAAAATTCAATTAATCACTTGTTAGGTTTTAGTGAATGATACAAATATTTACTATTTTTTTATTATATTACTGCTAGTTTATTTACCACAACTATTTCCACACAAAGGCTGCATACTCAATGACAGAAATACCTACCAATAATTAATGGTATGATCTTGAGTAGTTCACATTACTTCACAGGTTTAGTTTTCTATCTATGATAGGGTTTACAACACTTCCTCTATCAAAAGATGCTCTTGATTTCTACTTCCTTTTCAAAAAGATAACTTTCATAAAATAAATATCAACATATTTATTTTTCCAAGGTATTCTTCTCTGAAAGCTAAGCATCCCCAGACTTTCAATCATTGCTTATAATGAGAAGTCCATTTTGTTCTATGAATTGTAGTTCATACTAATGTATTACCAAAAATTCCAAAGTAAAAATTCTCTAGTCTCCCATCTAAGTGGCAAGTAGAATGATATGTGGAACAGATGTATATACCTAACTGGGCCCAAACATAAATGGTAGCAAGATGGAATATATACACTTTGGTCAAGAGTAAGCCATTGTAAATCCTCTGAAAACAATAAATTAGAAATTGGTGCTGCTAAGGGATTATAAAGGGCTAAATGTTTAAATGAACTGAACACCAAAAGCACCAAAAATAAAACTGAGTATCACAATATTACCAGTGATCACCTCCACATGAATTCTAATAATGTATGCTATTAACAGCAGCCAAGATGTAAGTGTAATCACCTAAACATTATAGTTTTTAGTTTATAATAATGGCTCACTATGAGTAAGTTCAAAGTACATATACCAAGCTCAGCACCATCAATTTTTTTTTTTTTTTAAATAAGGGACTTGGGCCGGGGAGATGGCTCAGTAGAATAAGTGCTTCCCTGCCAAGTGCAAGGGCCAGAGTTCAACCCCCAGTTCCGCAAAAAAAAAAAAAAAAAAAACCTTATCACTAATGTATAGTCATTTAATTAATGTTTAAGTACTGGTTTTACTAGTACAAATTAGCTTACTAAAAATTGCCATCCTAAATTTTTAAAAACTTAAGTCATCAAAATTTTACTTACCTTGAGTATTGAGGTAATAATGTTTCCACAATGGTCTTAATTTGTGTTTTCCACCGACATCCCAAATGGTGAATTTTAGATTTTTATATTCTACAGTTTCCACATTAAAACCTGTTTTTAAAAAAGAGTTCCTTTTATACAGAATGTACTTTGCAATGAATAACACATCAAATACAGGCAACCCTGTTTGTAATTGTGCCTCATGAATTATCTGCATGTAGCAATATTTACAAAGTCCAAATAACTCCTAATACTACATGGGATTTAATGGTGACTAGCCCTCAATACCTCTACCAGGATCCTTAGGGCCTTAAAATCCATGTATCTACCAACTGTGGACCACTACTACTCCCATAACTCTCAGCTAGGGTTACCAATCCTCTATTCCTTCTAACTGTGATACCAATAGTCTCTTCTTTATTATTTTAAGATTCACATTTTAATCCCATAAGCACAGAATCCTGTATTTTTGTCTCTAAAATGCTTGTGATTTAGAGCCCTTAAAGAGCTATCTGCACAATAATCAATATCAAGTAAAACCCAGCCGTAAACTAGTTTGCCTATAAAATGACTTACAAAAGGGGAAAAACAAAAAGCAATATTCTTACTTACCAATTGTTGGAATGGGCTGCATGAACTCATCCTGTTTTAACTTAAACAAAATGGTAGTTTTTCCAGCACCATCTAATCCCAATGTAACAACTCGAATTTCCATTTTGGGTCCAATGTGAACTCTGTTGTCCTATAATTTAAAATCTTTAAATCTTTCAGTTCTGATATGGAGTAACAAAATAATAGCCATGTATACCTTTTATGAAGAAAACACTTTAATGTTCCCAGACATTCTATTTCAACTGAATCTTCTTTCAATAATAAGTTTTATGCAGTTCTAAGACACTTCAAAATAGGGCTAAATGAAGAATGGAAACTGCTACTTGATTGCCAGAAATATCTACTATTAACAATTTAATGTGTATTGTCTCACTTTTCTTATATATATACCAGCTAACAGAAAAATAAACATTTTTTAAAGCTTAATACTATATAGTGTAACTTATTTCTCATTCAACAGATTATGTATTTCTTTTATTTCAAATATATAAAGACCACAAGCGCAAGGACCTGAGTTCAATCCCTGGTTCCGAAAAAAAAAAAAAAAAATACACACACACACACACACACACACACACACATAAAGACCAAGTTTTTCTTTTAATAGTTTCCTTATATTCTGTGGATCACAAGTTAACCAATTCTATACTGTTTGATTTTAGATTATTTCTCATTTTTTGACATTACAAAGAATGTTGTAATAAACATATGTAATGGACATTCCCAGGTGTATGGCTTCTCTGACCCACTACTTTCATTTATAAAGTAATGATAAAAGTGGTATTAAGTAGTAGTAAATTGAATTCAACAAACAGATTAAAAGAATTATACATCATTCCTAAATGGGATTTATACTTGAAAGGCAAGGGCTGTTCAATATTTTAGAAGAATAGAAGACAAGAAAAATATAACCATCTCAACTAAGAAAAACATTTGACAAGATTCAACATGATTTCATGGTAAAAACCACTGGATACACTGGGAAGAGAAGGAAAACCACCTCAACATAATATAGCCCTATAGATAATATCAAACTCAATGATAAAAAAACTGAAAATTCTTCTACTAAGAAACTACTAAGAAATATGATAAAAATATCCATTCTTACAACATCTATTCAACACTGTTCTAGATTTAAAAATGTAACCAGAACAATTAAAAAATAAAATAAAATGAAAGAAAATGTATCCAAATCAAATAGAATACAAAATTCTCTTCACAGATGACACGACCTTACATGTGCAAAACTAAGATTCCATAAGAAAGAACATATGAATCCAACAAAGATGTAGAACACAAAATAAAGATGTTAAAATGAGTTGTGTGCTTATACAGTAATAATGAATGATCCAATAAAGAAATTTAAAAAGTCTCATTTATAATAGTATTAAAAAGAACAAAATACTTAAGAATAAAGCCAGACAGAGAGAAGATTTAGGCATTGTAAATCATAAAACATTGCTAGTAAATTAAACCATAAAAGAAAAACATGGATCCAGGGCGATAGCTCAGCAGCATAAGCACCTGCCTGGCAAGCACAAGGTCCCGAGCTCAGTCCCCAGTACTGCCAAAAAAAAAAAAAAAAAAGAAAGAAAGAAAGAAAAAAGAAAAACAATCCATGTGTATGGATTGGGATAGTAATATTGTTATATATAGTGTGATTACTACCCAAAGTGGTATGCAGATTCAATGTAATCCCTATCAAAATCCTAACAACACAGGATAGAAGTACAGCTCAGTGGTAGCATTTATCTAACACAAAGGCCCTGGATTCAATGCCAAGGCATGGTTTAAAAAAAAAAAAAAAAAATCCCCAATCAATTTATTTGCAGAAATAAGGAGAAAAATCATCCTATAGACTCTTAAGGGACATTGAGTAGCTAAATTAATTCTGAAAAACAACAAGGTTGGAGAGTATACTTCAAAATATTTATAAAGCTATAATAAAATCTTGTGGTACTGCCATAAAGATAAATGCACCACATACCAATAAAATAGCCCAAATATAAACTTTCACATATATGATCAAATAATCTTCAATAAGGGTGCCAAAGATCACTCAATGGAAAAATAGTTTCTTCAATAAATATATGAGGGAAACTGGATATACACATACAAAAGAATGGAGGTGGACTCTAATCTTATACCACATACAAAACATGATTTTAACTCAAAATGGTAATATTCCTAAAAATAAGATCCAAAATTATAAAAGTCTTTGAAGTAAAGAAGAAAAATGCCTCTGTTGTATGTTATGGGTCGGTGCCCAAAGAAACGAGAAGACCTGATGGATGTAGCTTTAGAGGTCTCACTGAGATTAGCCTCTCTCAAAGTGAGCCCAGAGCCTCAGAAGCATCTCACATTTATTGAGGGATAAAGGCAGGCCAGGAAGTGTGCATAATTACTTAAGTGAATGCAAACTACTATCTCTATTAACTTTCACCATTTGCCTAACACTAGCTTTACACAAATGCTAGCCCATAACATCCCAAGTAAGGGATCAAAGAACAGGGCGCCTGCAAGAGAGGCTGCAATCTGCAGCCTTGTGTCCCAGCTTGCCCGGCATTTACAAGTGACAGACAGCAGCTCTCCCGGTCTCTGTCTATTGTTTCCTGCTCTCTTGGGACATTAGGCTTTTGTCTCAAATCTCTATTTCTACCAGCCTCATGACATTAAATTTGACAGTAACTTCTTAGATATTACAGGACACAAAGCAAAAATATTTGAATGGAACTACATCAAACTGAAAACTTATTTTGCATAAAGTGACATAATGTAATCAAAAATCATTCTACACAAGGAAGAAATTATCTAGAAATTAATGATCTCATAAGGGATTAATATCTAAAATATATAAAGAATTCCTGGGGCCGGGGAAATGGCTCAGTAGAATAAGCGCTTGCCTGGCAAGCACAAGGGCCTGAGTTCAAAACGGCGGTTCCACCAAAAAAAAAAAAAAAAAAAAAAGAATTCCTATAATTCAACAAAAAAAATCTAATAATCTAATCAAAATGGGGGCAAATTATTTGAATAGACATATTCAAAACAATATACAAGTCAGCTGGGCATGATGGCACACATCTGTAACCCCAGTGAATTTGAAGCCAGCCTGAGCTACAAAGTAAGTTCAAGGCCAGCCTGGACTGCATAGTGAAAACCTGTCTCAAAATAAAAAAAAAAAACAAAAACAAGACAATATACAAGGCCAACAAGCACATGAAAAGATGCATATCACTAGGCATCAAAATAATGCAAATCGAGGGCCTAGCTAAATAGCTCAGTGGATTAAAAGCGCCTGCAAGCAGGCGAGGGGGTCAAGGGTTCAGGCCTGCCATGCTGGCCCTGCCCCCAGGGTGCACTGAGATGGCAATTGAGACTGGGCATGGTGGCATGTGCCTGTAATCCCAGCCCTCTGGAGGCTGTAAACAGGAGGATCACTAGGAGACTGATCTAGTATTAAGACTCTGTTGATCCTTCCCTAAAAAAAATTAAAAAAAAAAAAAAAATCATGCAAGTCGAAAAGCAAAAAAAGATAAAAACCTCATGTCAATTAAGATGGCATCTAAAACCAAATGGAAAATAACAGGTATTGGTTAAAATGTAGAGAAATTACAACCCTGCCCCACCAAAGTAGGGATAGTAATATGATGTAAAAATGATGGAAAATGGTTCCTCAAAAAGTGTAAAATAGATCTACTAGATAATCTACTCACTACCTTCTCTTCTGGTTTTATTCCACAAAAATTAAAAATGCCTCAGAGAGGTATCTGTAATACACCCACATGCAAAGCAGCACTTAATAACCAAGAGGTGAAAGAAGCCTAAGTGTCTACTGACAGATGAATGGATAAACAAAATACAGCATTGTTGGAGAGTGGCCTGGCCCACAGATCCTAGGTCCCTGCCCTGGGCCCCACTCATGGGAGAGCCATTCCGCTCCTCTGAGTCTTCCCCACCCAGGCGCTCTTGTAGGGACCTACTCTTTGCTAGTAGTTTCTTAGCCTGGACCAAGGGCAAAGGAGAATGAACTACAAAGAGACACAGATTCAATCTGCGGGCAGGCAGGGGCCTCTTGCCCGTAGGGTAGAGGAGCCCTCGTCTTCCCTTTATTCACCCAGACACAGGTAGAGGCAATTATCTATTAATACATACTCAGGTAAACAACTTACACTCAGCTGTATTGACTTAACCCTAGACCCTACAATTGCCATCACCCCTATTTTTCTCCTTGCGCTCATACAGGAGGCCAATTAAGCCTCAATTTGCCTCTGATCTCCCACAAGGTATATATGTGTACAATGAAGTACTATTTAGCCAAAAAAAGAAATAAAATTCTCTTATATGCCACAACATGAACTGTGAAAACATTATGCAAAATGAAATAAGCCTGCCACAAAAAGATAGATCATATATTATTTCACTTATAGAAAATATCTAAATTAATCTAATCCACAGGAACACAAAATAGAATGGTAGTTACCAGGGACTAAAGTTAGGTGAAGCCAAGCAGGGAAATTGTTTAAAGAATACAGTTTCAGGTTTACAAGATGAAAAGGTTCTTAACAATATTGGAGTATATGCTTAAAAAAGGGATAACTGCCAGGTGTCGTGGTGCATGCCTGTAATCCCAGCACTCTGGAGGTTGAGGCAGGAGGATCATTGTAAGCTTGAGACCAGCCTAGGATACAAAGTGAGCTCAAGGCCATCCTGAACTGAAGAGCAAAACCCTGTCTCAAAAAGACAAAAAAAACAAAAACAGGTAAAATGGTAAATTTTTTATTATGTGTTTTTTACCAAAAGGAAAGTGATACATCCTCAAAATAAAGTACCTTGTACTTGTAAAAAGGAATAAAAAAGGGCTGGGGAGATGGCTCAGTGGAATATGTGCTTCCCTGACAAGCACAAGGGCCTGAGTTCAATCCCCAGTTCCATTAAAAAAAAAAAAAAAAGGAATAAAAAAGTATCACTGTGTATTATAATGGAGGCTTTTTAAAGGATGTATAGTTAAATGAAAATATAGAAAAATGTGTAAGATATTCAATTTTTCAATGTAGACAATGAGCACAAATATATAAATACATTTTTCTATTTTTTCTAAATGAATGAAACTAGGAAAAATTCTGTTAAACTGTAAAATAAAAAGTTTAGAGGGAACAAGAATAGAAGCTAAACTTTTTCTTTTTCTGGCCAGAAAAGCCAGCCCCGGAGGTGGGGCTGGCATGGCACGTGGTGCCAGGGATCAAACTGCAATCTCTGTGCTTGCCTAAGCTTGCCTAAGCAGGCAGCTTTAGACCACTGAGCTATCTCGCCCACCAGATGGTAAACGTATCTTTAAAAACACTGCTTTGCAGATGTGACTCTAGATTCTGTAAATTGTGTCACATAATTATAAAACAAAGTTAAATTTTAAAACTACCTTTAAGGGCTGGCAAGATAGCTCAGTAGTCTAAAGCGTCTAATGAGGCAAGCTTAGGCAGGCGCAGAGGACCACCATTTGATCCCTGGCACCACATGCCTCACCAGCCCCGCCCTCAGGGCAGGCTGAGCTGAGCTAGCAATAAATAAATAATAAATAATAAAACTGCCTTTAAAAACAAAAAGTAAAATAGAGCTAACAAACTGGTTGTTTTGCTTGGTTTGAGTTCTTTTGTTTTTGAGACAGGGTTTCACTATGCAGCTCAGGGTGGCCTGAACTCACATTGTAGCCCAGGCTGCATTGTAGCCCAACCCTATCTCAAAAAGAAAAATAAGTAAATAATAAAGAGAAAATAAAATGTGATATATAAGGATGACCTGGAGGACTTTATGACAAGTGAAAAAAGTCACATGTAGAAACAAACACTTTGCTATCTCAATCATGTATGAAATCTAAAAAAGCTGTTCATCCTGCAGCATTTCTCCTCTCTCAGCTTCTTGAGTGCTGGGATGACAGGCATGTGCCACCTCACCCAGCATTCACAAACCTTTCTGAATCAAAGAGAATCACTATAAAAGGAGAATTAAATATATACACTGAAGGCCAAATAAGGGCTTTAACTTCTTTCTCAAAAAATATTTGTTAGGAAATAACATGGACAATTTGAATACTAACTAGATACTTGACAACATTAGTGAAAATATTAGAGATGATTATTAAACTTTTTAGGTATGATTGGCTAATCTTTGAAAAAGAATCTTTATCTTTTGGAAATGCACACTCAAATATCTAATAAACAAACTGATACAATATTGGAATAAAAATATGATGCTAGAATTTACCTCAAAATATCCCAGAGACTGAGGAGTAGAATAAAGGAGATATGACATAATGAGATTGTACTTGTTAAATTGGGTAATGAATACAGGAAAATTCATAATACAATTATTCTACTTTCCACTGATGAAAAATTTTCTTAGACACGCCTATTATATTCATTTGATTAATAAACATTGTATGTATGTACTGGATTACCCTAATGTACCTCAAAAAGATGTACAAATGGTAAAAATAATTTTCTTTTTTGGAAAAAAAAAAAAAGAACCTGTTCTTTGCAGGAAATTTTTTTTCTTAAAAAAAAAAAAAAAAAAAAAAAAAAAATCCAGATCCATGATGTAGAGTATGCCTAAGGAGAGTCACATGGAGAGAAAATATTCTCTCAGGCTTTCACAGAGAGCACAATGGCCAAGCAATGGCCATGACTCAGCCACATGGCTGACATTGACAAAGGTTCTACAATCTGAGGTACAGGATCTCAGGATAAATCCTGAGGGGATTTGACTGACTTTATCAGACCCAAAAGCTACAACTCTTGTTGCACAGGTCCTGCTTTACCTTGGTCTTAACCATCCAGCAGAAAAATATAAAAATGAAGTATAAGAAGTAAAGCCATGGTGTTATGTTGAACTGTTGGGGACTCAGGTCAACAATTTCTGACACTGCCAGTCAAGCGGAAGACCCAATACTATTATGGACCTCTGAACTCTTTTAGAATATTTTGCTGAGTTTACACACCTATAATATTTAAATGATAGAACTTAACAAAAAAGGGGATACAGATGAATGTCCATTTGGTATCTGTGTATTCAAAGCGGTTAGGACAGATATATAGTTACATTCTCTTAATGAATAGAGGGATTTGTTCTAATGGTGTTTGCAAATAGGATATTAAGTCCACATCTTGTACAGCAATTAACCACTAGGAAGACAGTATGCAATGTGTTAATTATTGAAACTGTCCTAGCGATTTGATTTGAAACTGTCTCACTGCTATTTGTTTCTCAATAAAATTATGGAAAAAAATCCAGTAATTAATTAAGTTCTTAGTTGTGTATTTGAGCTGATTAGAAAGATACATAAATCAATCATGATTTGTCTGAAAACACACCAAAACATAAAGTGTTACCTTTGTAAAAGTGACAGGGATGCTGGCATCCAACTGAATGTGATCTGCGACCTCTGTAAACTGCTGCTGCTGTTTCTGCAATGTTTCCAAAGACCTTGTAATTTCCTGTTTTGCCAAGACAACTCTACAATCATCCTAGAAAAAGGACAACAGTATTTCTCATAAACTTTTTCTTACAGAAACAGAATCTTACCACTGCCAACTTGGAATACAGTTCGATTTAACACTACAGTATTCAGTTATTAAACTAGCCTGAACTGCACTATAAAAACTCTATCTCAAAAAGAAAAATAAATAATAAAGAGAAAATAAAATAAAGTGTGGCATATAAGATGACCTGGAGGACTTTATAACAAGTGAAATAAGTCAGATGTAGAGACAAACACTTTGCGATCTTAATCATCCATGAAATCTAAGAGAGTTGTTCTTGTGAAAGCAGAGAATAGAACGGTTGTTAACATAGCCTGGAAAGGGTGTGGAAGAAAGAGAATAGAGGCTGGTCAACCAGCACAGATACAACAGATAGAAGGAATGAGCTCTAGTGTTCTACTACACAGCATGGTGAATACAGAATGACAAAAATACACAGGTTAGGTACTCCGTGTCTTAAATACTTGGGATTAGAACTGTTTCAGAATTCAGGGATGTGCACATTTGAGAAATTTACATACATGTTACCAGTTAAACATATTTAAGTCAAAAATACAAATCTGAAAAGCTCCAACATTGAAAATTTTTTCAGTGTCACATTGGTGCTCAAACAATTTCAGATTAAAAAAAAAAATTCACATTTTAAGCCAGGCATGGTGCCACACACATGTAATCCCAGTATTCTGGGAGGCTAAGACACAACAATCATAAATTCAAGCCAAGACTAGGCAATTTAACAACTTAGTGAAACCCTGTCTCAAAAGAACCTCAAAAGTTCATATTCTAGAACATGGATTTTCTGATTTCTGAATACTCAACCCATTATTATATATTTTAAAATGGCTTAAAGGGAGGGTTTATCTTACATTTTAAAAATATTACCCATTCTAATTGGAATGATGAAAGCAAAGTTCATTGAGGTCAAGATTTACATTTCCCAGCCGATTAGTGATGTTTGCCCATTTTTGATTGGATTATTTAAGGGTATTTTGCTGTTCAATTATTTGAGTTCCCGGGTATTTTGCTGTTGAGTTATTTGAGTTCCCGTCAGGTATATAGTTATGTACAGATATATATATATATTTCTTCCTGCTCAATGTTGTCACCACAAAGAAATAATAAATGTTTGAGGTGATGCGTATGCTAATTTCCCTGACATAATCATTATGCAATTGTCTTCGTTACTTTTCTCTCATTGCTGAGACAAAATATCCAAGGCCCAAAATTAAGGAAAGGAAGGTTTATTTAGTTCATAGTTTGTGGAAGTTTCAGTCCATACTCAGCTGGCTCCAAGGCAGGATAGCATAGCAAAAGGCAGCAGTTCATGGCATGGAAGACAGCAAAAGCAACAAAAGCAAAAAGGGAGGAGCTGAGCAGGACTCTTTACCTCCCTTATATTTTATGCAGACTCATGCCCCAGGGCAAGTATAGCACTCAAAACCATAATGCTAACACCAGACCATGAATCAATCATGAACTCTAGAAGCCTGCCAGATGACTGCCTGAAGCTTTGGTGGGGGACATCCAGATACAAACCATAACAACAATGTATACATCAAAACAGCAATTATAGGAGCCAGGAATGTAGTTCAGTGGCACAAGTACCTGCCTGCCAAGCACAAGATCCTAAGTTCATTCCTGGTACCAAAAATGAAAAAAAAAAGTTACAAAACAGCAATTGTAGTCCATAAGTATGTACAATTGTTATATATAAATTAAAAAAACTTAAAACAAAAGACTAGAGGTTCCACATTAAAAACAAATCCAAGATCCAATTTTACATACATTAACTCAATGGAATGATATATCACTGACAATGACCAGTTATTATGACAGAATACTTCACAAATACTAAAAATAAATATTTCATAAGTATAAACATTTTTTTATAAAGTAAATATGAAAATAATCAAATAATAAATCTAACTTAAGACATTCTGTTCTGATGTTGCTGTGTAGCTTGATCAACCATCATGAGTTGAATGAGCATTTATTATTTAAGAAATGCTTTCCATCTATACACAACAAATTTAAAGATAGAAAAATGGACAAAGATGCATCCAGACACCTTCAGGGCAAATATGCATACTATAGCATTCAAAGTCAAATAATCCAGTTACTTAAACATAAAGAATTTACTATAGATGCGCTTTATAGCACATAATTGTAATTCCAACACTCAGGAAGCTAAGGCAGGACTGCCTTAAGTTTGAGGCCAGCCTGAACTTTATGTTGAGTTCAAGGCCAACCTGAACTAAATAGTAAGATCAAATCTCAAAAAAAAAAAAAAAAAAAGTAGGTGTAATTATTAACTGGATGGTTGAAAGAGTAGTATCATGGAAGTAGAAACTGTAGAAAATAGCTAACATCTATAGGACTAGGGAATAAAGGGAAAAATTAGAGTTACTAAAACTTAGAAATTCATAGACAGGGCTGCTAACAGCTGAAATTCAGACCTCTGAGAAACCATACGTTCACTCTAAAGAATAACATTCACTGAAACCCCAAGCAAACTGGAACCCGCAGGAAGCTAGCAAACTCCTGCCTTCCAGTTTCCCTCTAGTGGCCCCTATGGGCCACTAAACAGGAAGTAATCTGCCTACACAGATAAGTGGTTCAGAGTTCAAGCCCCAATGTCACAAAGCAGATGATAGAAGAGAAGGACTGGAGCTGAAAGACAGTAAGTTGCATACACAACTACTATAATTCTATGAAATAAGGACTAAACACCAAACAACTCAAGACGAAAGAGGTACAGAACAGCCACACTGGCGTAAGTACAATCAGATACTTCAAACAGGCATTACATGGGTAAAAGGTTTAGCCTACCATAACTTGAAATTAGCATAATAATTTGCAGTGCATCTGTAAAAATAAGGTAGATGTTTGCTGTTCTAAAATTCCTGTAGTGGCCAACCAAATAGTTCAGCAGATTTAAGTGCCTGCAAGCAGGGCAAGGGGCCAGAGGTTCAATCCCTGGACCTGCTGTGCCAGCCCCGCCTCTGGGGTGTGCTGAGTCAGCAATTGAGACTGAGCGCAGTGGTGCGCGCCTGTAATACCAGCTCTTGGGAGGCTGTAAACAGGCAGACCACTACAAATCCAATCTAGTAGTGAAACCCTGAACACCCTGTAAACCTATCCCTAAAAATACAAAAAAAATTAAAAAAATAAAATTCCTGAGTAATTACCCTGTGTCTGTCATTTATGAAGGAGAAACAAAATAAGGAATCTTATTTTTAAAAACATCATTTGCAAACTACGTAATAAATTGCTTATAATACCTCAACCATCACAAAACATAGGTTTACTGCAATACTGAAGAACTATCAAATTAGAATAGAGGCAAGGAACACTTGCAAGAGAGCATCCAAAAAAAAAAAAAAAAAAAAAAAAAGAAAGAAAAGAAAAAAAAAATGACAAAGGAAGAGAAAGTCCCAAAGACTGGCTAACATTATAACTAAACCTTGAAGGCAAAAGAAGATTTCCACTAGCAGAAAAAAAAAAGAGAGGCACTCTAAGCAGAAAAAATAGCATGCACTTGGCAAAGAACAGTAACAACGCTTGCTATGACTGGAGAAGGACAAAGGTTAGAGGATTCCTAGAATCAACAGCTTTATGGGGGAGAGGATAAATGAAGAGCAGGATAGTGACATGTTAATGCAGTAACTGAAGTTACAGACCATGTGCTGAGAGCAATATCAGTGCATGCAGGAGAGCTCAAATAGCAACTGAACTAATAAAATAAACCAAGGTGTATCTGTTGAGCATGGTTATGCAAGTCTATAATCCCAGCACTCAGGAGGCTGAAGCAGGAGGATTGTAATGAGTTTGAGACCAGTCTAGGCTTCATAAGTAAGTTCAAGGTCAGCGTGCACTACATAGCAAAATTCTGTCTCAAAATAACAAAATAAAACACAAGAAAAAAAGTAGTGTATATCTCTGGTAATTATCTACTGAAACTTACAACTGTAGCTATAGCCACATTGAAACCGTTTACCTGCTGCAAAGTTTTTTCACAATGGAGGCAGACAGTTGAAACTTGGGACAACAGAATAGTCATATCTTCTTGTTGCTGCCTGAGCCAAATCAGTTTTTCACGAACGTGAGCATCAACCACACTTAGTGCCATCTCTTCTTGACGACACAGAGTTTCATGTAGATCAGAAAAATAAGCTCGGACACATGATCGTGCATTCTCTGCAGTACCTGGTACCTAAGGAAATATGGTAAATTTTAAACACATAACCTAAACAAATATTTTATAAATCTGCACCCTTACAAATTCCAAAATTTAAACCTCCACGGTAGAACTTTCCCTTCAACTACTGACTCTAAATATCCAACTGTTTATGAATGACATCTCAAGCAAAATGAAATACCTAATCTCCAATCTCCCAACCCCCAAACCTAGTTACCTCCATCTCAGTAAATGGTAATTCCATCCTCCAGGTTGTTGAAGCCAAAAAGAAAAAATAGGAGTCATCCTTAACATCTTTTTCACATACCACAACTAGTCCTCCAGCAAATTTCTCGTGACTGCAAAATGTATCCAGAATCTGATCATGCTTTACCACTTTCAAACAACCTAGTCCAGGCATTCTCATCTCTCACCTTGTTATTATGGAGTGTGAGCAAAATATACATTGAATGTTTAAATTTTTCAATATTACATTACAAGACACATTGCCATTAGTCCCCCTCAAAATATCTCCCTCGGTTCAAATATTCTGTCATTTTTGCTTCATTCTGAAGTAATTCTAGAAGTCCTCTTTTGTGTATTTATTTGGTGTGAATCAAAACACTATGAATACTGTTACTAAGTGCCGCCCAATAGAAAGACGGGCTTGTAAAAACATGGTGCGTCTATCTTCCTCATTCACTGGATCCGGCACTGTGCAACTTTTGGCTCTTCCACAAAGTCAAAATGACCATGAAAGACAAATGTTTAAAATCAGTTCAGGACATCAAGGTAGTCACAATAGCAAAACCAAAGACACAAATGAGGACTTCCAAAACTGTTTCAAAAAGTGGAAAGAATAAGTGTATCTATCTTAGGTGAAAAGTATTTTAAAGGTGATTAATGGCAGTGTATAATTTATCATAATTTTTAAATTTAAACATTCACTGTATTTTCAATCATACTTGGTATGCTAGTTTCTAACTGGCCTAATTGTTAGACCCTCCAAGTTACCTGACCAATTAATATCAACAATCAATCACTAGGGCCTTTTTTCTACTTCCTTAAAATCTCAAATATCAAATATATCTTACTTTCCATTCTTACAACCCTACCGCCATAAGCATCTCACCATTAGAAACTTTTAACGATGTTTTCATAGATCTTACTTACAATATGTTGCTCTTCCAGTTCATTTTCTGTATTTAAAAGCAACCATTTTTAATGCAAATCTGATTATGTTATTCCTGTATCAATTCTCCAAGAGCTGATCACTACACTTAGACTAAGTTCCAAACTATAACATGACTAAAAAGATGCTGCATGATTTAGCCTTTAACTTTCCGACCTATCTTCTTGCCATCAAGAAACTTTGAAAACTGGAGTGAGTTTTAAGTTTCTTCTTGCCCAATCCTCATTTTTCAGCATTTTAACATATTCTACCCTCTCTGGAACAGCTCATTTCTTACCACATTCTTCTCCCTGACTGAACTCCTTTAAACCTCAGTTTAGACATGACTTCTTCTAGGAAGCCTTCTTTGACCCACACAAATTGATGCTCCTTTTATATGAAGTCCATACTTCCCTACCCACTACACAAAAGTTATCACACTAACACACTGCCTCTGCTTCATAATGGATGATAACTTCCATGAAAATACTTTTTAAAAGTTGGTTTCAGTCACTAGTGCAGTACCAGCACACTGTAACTGTGCAATACTTACTAGAAGGTGAAAAAGGTGAGAATGAAAGGGGTAAGAAGATTAAAAAGGAAGAAAAAAATCCATACATGTTCTGTGTGTGCCATTCCGATTCCATCTTCCACTATTTGTTCTCCGCCTTCAATGTGCTGAACGATTCCAACTAATTTTCTAGAATAATCTGAGATTTCCTCAGTGAAGGTCCGTATGCAGTGAGCCATATCTAAAATTGATGCTCGGATCTGGTTAGCTTCTGGTTCCAATACTGAATGCTATAAAATACAACATAATTACAGAATTCACAATATTGACTGATATAAAAGCTACTTTAAATTTTGCTTAATATAAAAAAGTATCAGCCACAGATGATTTTACAACACTTTTAGAAAAAGTACAGCCTAAGAAGGCAAAAACATACTTTTAATTTTTCATAAGAGAACTATACTACTAAAGAAATAATTTAAAATGGGGCAGTCCATTTATGAGACAAGAAACATAGAAACTTTATAATATAACAGTACATGTGTAAACATAAATACTATGAAATTATCCTGTGTATTATGAAAAATAAGAACATAAAGAAGACTTTTTTTTTTCCTATTAGAATAAATTTCTTTTCATTTTGAGGTACTGGTGATTGAACCCAAGACCCTGAACATGTTAGGCAAGTATTCTACCACAAAGCTATTCCAGCCCTTTTAAAATTTTACTCTGAGGGATAGGGAGACAGCACAGCGGTGTAAGTTCCTGCCTGGCAAGCGCAAGGTCCTGAGTTCAATCTGCAGTACGAAATATAAATAAATAAAGATAAAATAAAATTGTACTTTAAAACAAGGTCCCACTAAATTACACAAGGAGACTCAAACTTGCAATCCACCCTCCTGAGCCTCCCGATAGTTAGGATTATGGATGTGTGCCACCACACCTGGTTAGAAAGATATTTTTCAGTAAAGAGTCATTAGGCTTGAACTTTTTATGACATTCAAAAACCTCTCAAGCCAGGCACAGTGGCACACACCTGTAATTAAGCATTTGGGAGGCTGAAACAGGAGGATTGCTAAGTTTAAGAGTAGTCTGAACTACAAAGTAAGACCCTATCTCAAACAAACAAATGAAAACTCATTTCTTTTCATGCTACAAAGACCAATCCACACATCACTTGATTCTTCTTCAATCTTTCATTTTAGCATAAAGAACCAGGTCAAGGAAAACAAAGGCTGGTAAGTTAGGTAAAGTCGTTCAATTTAAACAAAATTCCTACCTTATGGCCTTGATGTTTTCCATATTCTTTGCAGACACAGCACATGAGTGGGCAGGTCCGACAACCTTCTTCCAAGCAAACAAACTCAATGGCATGTACTTGGTGCTGAGAGCACATGGTTTTCTCATGAGGTTTATCAGCTAGAGGCACTCGCCTGTGCTTTGCTAAAGTCTTTGTAGAATGAGTAACTTGAGAACACTCTGAGCACAAGTGAGTTGCACACACAGTGCAATACACAGATGCAACGTGAGCTTCATCTTCATCACAACGAATGATACTCTGACAAAAACATAATGGTTTAAAACTGAATCCAGTAAATATGATAGAGCAAATTTTGAAATATAAGACCCCATAATTTTGCAAAGATTTATATATGTTAAAACAGAAAATTTCAGGCTGGCCAAATAGCTCAGTAGATTAAAGCGTGAGGGTTCGATCCTGGGCCTACTGTGCCAGCCCCACCCTCGGGGGCCCACTGAGACAGCAATTGAAACTAGGTATGGTGGTGAGCGCCTGTCATCCCAGCTCTTGGGAGGCTGTAAACAGGCGGATCACTATGAGTCCGATCTAGTAGTGAGACCCTGAACACCCTGTAGACCCTTCCCTAAAATACAAAAATAAAAAATAAAAACCAGAAAATTTCTTAAGTCAGTTTTGTCAAGTGGAGTATATTTGAGCAAAGAAAAACAAACCAATGCAAAGAAAAAATGATTTGCAAACTGGGCATCACCCAAAACAATTTCAAAGAACTTCAACCAACAATGTGATCAGATAGGATTTATTTTTAAAAGTGCAAGTGAGATATAGAAAATACCTTAACTGGTGACAGCTTAGTTGATTAACCAATTGATTGGTAAACTGCAACTAACCACTGTTTATTCAGATTAAACAAATTGTAATTATATTCTATATAGGTTTAGTTCTTTGGGCCCAACAGATATCCATTCAAATTCATGGCCTCCCACAAGTTTTATTTAACAAAAAATACATGGGTAACTAAGCTACTACTATTGTTAAGACATTTTTCCTCTACATGAAATGGTCTCTTTCAGGGAGTTTTTTCTTGTTATTATTGTATTTTACTGTTGAATAATATACTTCTGCATCCTCTGTTGTAATGTAGCTTACATAATTTTTACTTCTCCAATCCTATTATTCACTCTAGCTTTGAGTAGAATTGAATTATAATAAACAGGAAATTTTACACATACACATAAAACATAGTTTTAGGAATACTATTTTCAAATAATTCAAGTTGTTCTATTTTTGTTATGTTGATACTAGTGTAGTCTTTAGAAGTGTAATGTAATAAAAAGTTGTATTTCTAGAAATTTGCCTGGTAAAGAAAGTGAGGTACCATTGTGTTAATAGTAAATATTTTAAACTAAGGAAAAAATTATAACAAATATTTAACCAAGTCAAGCAATACCTCTCCAGATATGCCAATGGCTTCTTCTGCAGCTCCATATTGACCAATATGTCCATTCTGTAGTCGTTCCAAAAGCTCTAATAAAGCAAAATTTTTTTTCAACCCCCAAACACCTGAATCACCTAGAAGATAAAATCAAAAAACTACATGTAACAAAATGTAGTATTAATTCTTGTATCACAGAGCTGGAGACGAAAGTCTCATTTTCACCATGTATCACAGGTTAGCCTCAAATTCACAATCCAACTTGCTTCTATGCTAATTATTGGGATTACAGATGTGGGATACCATGCCTGACCATTAATAATGTCTCACTCTTAAAAAGCCAGAATTTCTCCATTTCCTTGTCATTCCAGAATAATTGCTTTGTCACTGTTCTTTTCAGAAAAAAATAATTCCTTAGCATGTCAAGTAGAAATATTATTTTGTTAAATAGTTTCACTATGCAGCCAGGCTGATCTTGAACTCACTATATAATTCAGGCTGGACTTGCACTCATGGTGATTCTCCTGCCTCAGCCTCCCAATTTCTGAATGGTAGGATTACAGTTGTAGACCACAGTACCTGGCTAAAAATATACTTTAAAATTCTACTTTCCTATTGGTTAACTTTAAAAATCTTACTTTATCACTGAATTAATATACAACAAGTGCTTTAAGAATTTTTCACTGTGATCTACAATAAGAAATATCAATAGGGGGAGGAGCACTAAGATGGCAGAGTGGTGAGCAGCAGAGAAAGCATCTCTCAAGAGAGTTGCCATCTAGATGCTAGAATAGAGCAACATAAGGAAGATAAGAGGGAGGGAAGGAAGGAAGGATCTGAAGCATGAATTCAAGTCCATGGAGAGAGTAAAGAGAGAAATTTCAATGAAGAAGAAGATAACCAGTGGCACCTTTTCCCTGAGATGGGACTCAATGTTCAAGAAGACACACAGTGACTGCTGGTGACCCCAGAGGTCTCCATGGAGAGACACAGCAAGAGAGGGGAGCATCTCATATGAAGGACTGCACTAGCTGGTGGTGAATGCTAAGGGCTCAGTTGTCCTGCATGAGAAAGATTGCCCAGGAAGACATCTTAGAGAGGGGTAGGCTGACTTCTGCATTTAGAGCAAGTCTGGCCTCAGATAGAAGGTGCAGGCTCACTGAGATTATCCACAACCCTGCCAAAAGCCACTGCTGGCCTGCCCAAATCAGTCAACATGGATCAGGAGTTGGTTTCCATAGCAGTCTACCAAGGACAGCAGAGAATACCTGGAAGTGGACTTTTTCTCTCCCTCTCTTTGTTTTGTTACTGTGGTGATGGTTTTGCATTTGTATTGTGTTTTTTGTTTGATATTAGAGATAATTTTCTTTTAAAAGAAAGAATCACTGGGCATGGTGGCCCATGCAGTAACCCCAGCACACAGAGGTTGAGGCAGGATCTTTGCTAGTTTGGTACTAGTCTGGGCTACAAAGTGAGCTCAAGGCCAACCTGAACTGCTTAGCAAGACCAACATAAATAAACAAATGAATGAATTAAAAATACTTTTTCTTCTTTCCATTTTTCTATTTTTCCAAATTTTCTATAGTGTATATAAATATTCCTATAATACAACTAAAAATAAATTTAAATAATGACATTCTATGCTGGACATGGTGGTACACGTCTGTTATCCCAGCACAAGGAAAGGTGAGACAAGTGGACCACTGTGAGTTCAAGACCAGTCTCAGCTACATAGTTTCAAAGACAGCCTAGACTACATAGCGAGACACTGTCTCAAAAGAAGTATTTTTATAAAATGACAGCCAAGTATATATCAAAGGAAACTAGCACACATTCCAGACTGGAAACAGAGAAAAAGAAAAAAAAAACTTAAAAACAAAACTACCTACATGCCATAGTAATTATAATCTCTTAGCTAAGGGAGATGTTTTTCCAATATTATGTTAGTATTCACATTTTATTTGATTTGAACCTAAGATGGAAACAACTATTCCCTGTCATAGATTTGTACTTTAGTTGAATATTCTATATGTTCAATACCTGACCCTGTGGTATTAACATAGAAAAACGATAGTGCTTCTCAAAACAGTGGAAGAAAAGTTCTAGCCTTCATCTACAAAAGTTATCGTATCTGTAAGTATAATTTTTTATAAAGAAATAATGTACAGTACATGTGTCTTAAAAAACAAAAGGTAGCCAGGGAGATGGCTCAGCAAAGCAAGGGCTGGTCTGGCAAATGCAAGGTCCTGAATTCAATCCCTGGTATCAAAAATAAATAAATAAATATATAAAAATAAACCATCAAATAAAAGAACATCAGAATAGACATCTCCACTTTCTTAGCTTATAGTACATTAATGCTATCTGTAATGACAGTATCACTATCATATATTATCTCAGAAACAAAGTGTTTACATTAAAGATAACAGAAATGCTAAGATAAAATTTTCAAACCATATTTATTCACATTTTAAAGTTTTCTAGTCTAAAACTATGGGTACTCCTGCTTACTCTATAAGTGGATAAATTTTCTAAATGTGTTCCATTGTATATATAGTAAAAGTACTCTAAAAGACATCTTATATCATGCTATAGACCAGAAATACACAGCAGCTTTAAATGTCACAGAGAAAATTTCTTTTACCTAAAATCAGTAAACTTACAGAAATGAAATTACATTTGTAAATTAAAATTTCTAATATTAATAGAAGTCATTATTTCCAAATGTGATATGGCAAAGTAATGACTTATTTCAAAATACACAAAGCAAAATTTTATTTTTATTTCTTGATTTTTTAAAATTTTTTTGTGGCCGGCTCAGCCTGCCCTGGGGTCAGGAGCTAGAGTGGCATGTGGTGCCAGGGATCAAACCAGGGTCCCCACACTTGCCTAAGCTGGTGCTTCAGACCAGTGAGCTATCTCACTGGCCCTATTTTACTTATTTATTTATTTATTTATTTAGGTACAAGATCTTGCTGTACAGCTCAGACTCATAGTTATCCTCCTATCTCAGCCTCCCCAGAACTGGGATTACAGGCATGCACCCATGCCCAGTTTTGGTGGCCTGTGGCATGACATGTGGTACTAGGGATTGAACCCAGGTCCTTGCACTTGCCAGGCAGGCACTTAGACCACTGAGCTATCTCCCCAGCCCACAAAGCAAAATTTTAGCAATACACAAGAGATGGCAAGCACACGGTTCTGAGTTCACTCACCCACCAGTACTGAAAAAAAGAAATACACAAGAGAGCAGGCACGGTGGCACACGCCTGTAATCCCAGCACTAGGAGGCTGAGACAGGAGAATCACTTCAAGTTCAAGACCAGTCTGAGGGCTGGTGAGATGGCTCAGTGGTCTAAAGCACCTACTTAGAACAAGCTTAGCAAATCAGAGGGACCACGGTTCAATCCCCCAGCACCACATGCCAGCCAGCCCTGCCCCCTGGTGGGCTGAGCTGGCCACACACACACACACACACACACACACACACAAATAAATAAAATTTAAAAAAAAAAAAGACCAGTCTGGGCTACAAAGTGAGTTCAAGGCCAGCCTGAACTACGTAGTGAAACCCTGTATCAAAAATAAAAAGAATGATCTTTGCTAGTTTGGTACTAGTCTGGGCTACAAAGTGAGTTCAAGGCCAGCCTGAACTACGTAGTGAAACCCTGTATCAAAAATAAAAAGAATAAGAAAAAGGAAACATACAAAAAAGAAAGAAAAAAAAAAAAAAAAAACCACCTAGGACTTTTAATTCATTTTAGCAGAAAATAAGGAGTAGTCATCGCAAGATACAAATACTTCTGTCTCTGATAATAATAAATAATAGACTGAAACCATACATTGTTTCATATGCCTTTAATCTCAGTACTCTGGAAAGCTGAGGCAAGTAGATCATAATGTGAGCTCAGCCTGGGGAATTCAGTGATTTTGTAAGAACATGTCTCAAAATAAAAAAGGGCTGGAAAAAAAAAAGGGGGGCTGGAGATACAGCTCAGTGTGAAGGATCCAGGTTTAATGCCCAGTACTACAAAAAAAATTTTAAAAATAAAAAGTTGCTCAGACCAAAATGATTCATCAATATTTTCAATACAGGTTCATTTACTTATAAAGAAAATATTTTGATTGAACGAATGGTATGATGCACATGATTTAATCTGTGATGAATATACTATTACCATTTCTTTGAATGGGGCAGTACATATAACTCTTAATGTCTTAAAGCTCTTCATATATAATTATTGAATATAAACATCACAAAAGATGAAATATTAGTAATTATGACTCAGCTAGTTTACAGTTAGAAGATGTAATAGAAATTTCAATTTATTTTAATGGTCTTTGGAACTTTGTATTTTTTGTGTAAAGAAATTATTTTAAGTTGAGCATGGTAGCACATGTCTATACTCCAAAGGCCAAGACAGAGGACTGCTGGAAGTTCAAGGTCAGCCTGAACTACATAGTGAAACCCACTATGTAGGTTTCTAAAAAACAAAAGAAAACAGAAAAACAAACAAAAGAAATTATTTCAAATATAATTTATGCTACAGTAATAATTTTCAATCTTAAATCCATAAAAGAATTTCCCCACCTAGGTCTGTCACTTGTCGATCGAATGGGCAACGTATTGCTCTTCCATGAAGAGGTAAGCGAGTGAGGCAGTCATGACACACTGTGTGGCCACAAAGCAGAAGGCGAGGAACTTTGTCTCCTTGCAAAGAAAAGACATCTTCACACACTCCACATTCCAGAACCTAGTATTTAAAACAGAAACATGTGCTTTAAATCATTTTGAAAGCATACATTTTCAAAGTTTAGAAAAATATCACCTAATATAATGAATTAATCTAGTTACTTTGTTCCTTGATGAAAAAAAAGAAAAAAACTGTCTAAGTTATAAAACCTTAAAACTCTTTTTAGTCATTCCATCTAACAGACCTTGACAAAATGATCATACTGAAATCTCCTTAAAGTATTACAAAGATAATGCTATAAATTAGTATTAGCTTTCTTTTAAAAACAAAATCACTAATAAAACATAATTCTACCTAAATCGTCAAGCAATTTCTCTACAACAACCTTACCTCATTGAGCTTTCATTAATCACAACAAAAATGTAAAATGTGTGCCAGTCTCCCTGCAATATACTTCAGTGGTTCAGTGCCTGTCTGGTAAGCATGAGCTCTTGAGTTTGATTCATGGTTCCACAAAAAGAAACTTTGAAAATATGTGTTCAGATGACATCTGGCCTTCTAAATGATAAGTAATATGTGAGAAAAGATTACAAATAATTTTAAATTATTTTCTAGTACCCATTTACATCAAATAATGTAAAGGAAAATAAGCAGTCAGCTAAAATAAGCAAATAATTTTGGTATAATCAAGTTATAAAACTGCATACTGATAAAAAAATTCTATGTATGCACACAGAATGATGTCTTTTTTTTTTTCAAATAGTAATATTTATTATGAAGAAAACAATCTCACTGGTTGATGAAAAGTGACTAGGGGAGAGAAGAACTCTCCACTACATAGTCAAGAATGCTGCAATGAAAATAAAAATTACCCATACCTTCACTGATAAATAGCAATGTATTATGCATAGTTTTTCAGGCTAATGGGACAAACACTACTGGGTAAAATTCCAATTAAAATGAAAATAATCTTTGTTTTTTTTAAGGCATTCTGTCCCTCAGGGCAGTCTGTTCTTTTTTTTTTCTTTCCATAATTTTATTGATAAACAAATAGCAATGAGACAGTTTCAAATCAAATTGGTAGGACAGTTTCAATAATTAACACATTGCATACATTCTTCCTAGTGGTTAATTGCTGTACAAGATGTGGACTTAATATCCTATTTACAAACACCATTAGAACTAATCCCTCTATTCATTAAGCGACTGTAACTGTATATCTATCCTAACCACTTTGAATACACAGATACAAAATGGACATTCATCTGTATTCCCTTTTTTTTAAAGTTCCGTTATTTGAGTATTATAGGTGTGTAAAATTCTAAAAGAGAAAATATTCTAAAAGAGACCAGTAGCCCATAATAGTATTGGGTCTTCCGCTTGACTGGCAATGTCAGAAATTGTTGACCTGAGTCCCCTACAGCTCAACATAACAGCATGGCTTTACTTCTTATATTTCTTTTTTATACTTTTCTCCTGGATGGTTAAGACCAAGGTAAAGCAGGATCTATGCAACAAGAGTTGTAGCTTTTGGATCTGATAAGGTCAGTCAAATCCTCTCAGGATTTATCCTGATATCCTGTACCTCAGATTGTAAAACCTTTATCAGTGTCAGCCATGTGGATGAGTCACGGCCATTGCTTGGCCAATGTGCTCTCTGTGAAAGCCTGAGAGAATGTTTTCTCTCCATGTGATTCTCCTTAGGCACACTCTACATCGTTGATCACTTTCCTCTTTGGCCCCATAATCTCCTTGATCAGAAAATTTGGGACACTACTGAGTTACATGACATTACAGTACAAGTTCTCATATGTCCTGAGTCTTAATTGACCTTAGAAGGCTAGGGCCAAAATGTTGGCTTTCCCTGCAGCCCACCTTTTTCTCTAATTTTGGTCTGCAAACTTAAGTTGTTAACCATCTAGAAGACAAGCTTATTGTTATTACCATACAACTTAGGCTGTTGTTTCATATTTTAACGGAAGTCACGGTATATTTTAACTATTTTAATTGCCTTTTTAAATAAATGCACTTTGGAACATTTATGTGTGTTACAATTTCAAACTTCAAACACAGACAATGTATATATCCTAGCATTAAAGCCCAGCTATATTGCACTTGGAAGACTACTTAAAATTGTTGAGGGGGTGACCATCCAAGATGGTGGAGTGGTAAGCAGCAGAGAAGAGTCTCTTTGAGTGTTTCCATCCAGACACTGAAATATAGCAATGTAAAGAAGAGGAAGGGAAGTGGGTTCCCCAGATCCAGGAAGGATCTGAGCCATGAACTGAAGCCCAAAATCAGAGTGAAGGGAAAAACTTCCATGTAGAGGATGGAGGTGGCTAGCAGCACGTTCTCTCTGAAATGTGACTATTACAGGGCCTGCTGGTGACCCAAGAAGTCTCCATGGAGAAATGCAGCATGAACATGAAAGACTGCACTAGCTGGCTACTTAGTCCTCCTGCAAGACAGCAATTGTCTGGGAGCCATCTTGGAAAGGGGTCATCTAGCTCAGAACTCAGAGCAGCAGCTGGCTCCATCTAGGAGCTCCCAACCAAGCTCAGGCCTGCAGAAAGTGCACTGAAAGGCTGCACGCTGAATGAGTCTGGTCTCTTCCACAAGATGCAGGCCTACTGACATTATCCACCACCCTACCAAAAAGCTACTGCTGTCTTGCTGGACAAATCAATACAGATTAGGACTTTATCTCTACACACTGTCTACCAGCAACAACAGAGAAAAAATGGAAATGAACTCTCTCTCTCTCTCTCTCTGTCTCTGTCTCTGTCTGTTTTCTCCTTTGTAGTATGACCTTGTTTTTATGAGTGTGAATGTGGTTTCTAGCTTCTGTGATTCTAGTTCTGTTCCAATGTTTTATCTGTCTTTCAAGTCTTCTGCACCAGTTTCCCAAAGTTAGTGTGATCCCCCTTTGTCCTCCAGCCTTACTGCTAATCACATCTTCTTCCTCTATTTTTTCCCTAACCCATTTAAATTTTAACTCGGGCTGGTGAGATGGCTCAGTGGTCTAAAGCACCTACTTGGAACAAGCTTGGCAAAGTACAGGGACCGTGGTTCGATCCCCCAGCACCACATGCCAGCCAGCCCCGCCCCCTGGTGGGCTGAGCTGGCCACATACACACACACACACACACTCTAAATAAATAAATAAATGTTTTAAATAAATAAATAAATAAATAAATAAATTTTAACCCGAGTGTAAAATTGACATATTAAGAACTGCATATAGTTTGTAGGTCTGGCTTGGATTTTATTATATAACTACACATCTAGTTCATATGGTTAAAGGTGGTAAATTAATAGTAACCTTAGTTTGTTATTTTCTAGGCTATGATTGTTGCTACTAGTATAGCCAAAAATAACATAATTGTCTTAAACAGCTATTCATCCTGGTATTCCAAGCTTGAAATTGAGTAAGGGTCATAGAAAATACTATGGCACGTTGCAAAAGATCCAGGGGCTGAGCCAAACAGGCAGCAACTCCACATTCCCAACAAATTGAAAAGGTAGGATCTTGCAACTGACTGAAAACCCAAAAACCTGTTACAACTGGAAAGTACCTCAGAGAAGAAGTCATTTCCTAAGGGTTTCAAATGCTAGCAAAAAGCAATTCACTATCTGAAACTTACAAGCATTATTCAAGGAATTAAAACTAAAAAAAGAAAAGAAAATGACAAGACACTTGTGTGTGTGTGTGTGGCCAGCTCAGCCCATGATGGTGATGGGGCTGGTGTGGCATATGGTGGTGGGGATCAAACCAGGGTTCCTGCATTAGCCTATGCTTGCCTAAGCAAGTGCTTTAGTTTTCTAGAAGACATTTAAACAAAAGGAAAATCCAGACATCCAGCTCACCAAAGGGAAATCCAGGGGGCAATGAGGTGGAACAATCCAAAAGCTACCCAACTGATCTCTGAAGTGGTAGCAACAAAGTAATTGAATGAAGCACCAGAAAAAAATTCAAATCAGAAATAATTTCTCAGATAACTGCTGAGATAGTGACTACAATGAAAACCATGCCTAGTGACTCTAGAGCAGTTACAGACAAAAACACAGGAGCTTAAGAAAATGATGGAAGCTATGAATACTCAGCATAGGAAAGAAGTGTAATCCATAAAGCAGATTGAAGCAGCTATTCAGGAGAATAAAAATTCCACTGAAAGTATCCACAGCAGATTAAGCCAATACAAGGAAAGGCTCTCAGATATAGAAGACAGGAGTGTAGTTATCAATCATGAAAACAAGGATTTCTTAAAAATAGCAAGGGACAAGAGGAAATTATTCCAGCAACTGCTACATGAGGCAAACAAAAATAACTTAAGATTGGAGTCCATGAAAAAGTAGGATATAAAATGATATTTAAAAAAACTCTTCACAGAGGTCATGGCAGAAAATTTCCCTGGTAGACAAAAAAGAATATAGCTTAATGAGGCATACAGAAGTCCAATTAGCCATGATCAAAAAAATCTACAGGTTTTCATAATCAAGATTCCAGAAATTCAACACAAAAGCAGGATCTTAGAAGCTGTTAAAGAAAAGAAACAAATAACCTATACAGGAAAGCCCATCAGAATTACACCTGACTTCTGAGCACAAACCCTCAAGTCAAGGAAAGTCTGGAATAAAGTATTTCAAGTTCTAAAAGAAAAGCTTCCAGCAAGATTAATGAACCACACAAAACTACCTTTCAAAACTGATGGAGAAATAAGATATTTTCATGAAAAAGAACATTTGAAGAAATTGATGACCACTAAACCAGCACTACAAAATATTTTCAAGGACATTCTAGAAAGACATAACAAGAATTACAACTCCAAGAACTCCAATAGAAGGAATCCACCAGGCAAGGCAAACAGAGAAGGAAAAGGGGGTGGGAGGACAACAACAGCAAGATAACATGAAAAGGATAAGTCAAAACATATCAGTTATGACCATCAATGTTAACAGTCCCAATCCATGAATTAAAAGACACAGACTGGGAGAATGGATCAAGAAGCAAAATCCAACAATATGCTGCATACAAGAAAATATTTAATTCAGAAAGAAATTCACAGACTAAAGTGAAAGGATGAAAAACAATACTCCATGCAATAGGAAATCAGAAAAAAGCAGGGTTATTTATTCTATTTGCAAACAAAGTGAATTTCAAGCCAAGACTGGTTAAGAGAAATAAAGAACATCACTACATCCTTATAAAGGAAGCAATCAAAGAGGAAGAGATAATAATCATAAATATATACAACAAATATTAGTGCACCAAACTATACAAAACAAATATTAATGGGCATGAAAAATAAAGTACTAATACAATTTTATGAGGTGATCTTAATACCTCAGTCACAAAATGAGAGAACAACTGCACAAAAAGTGAATAATGAAATAATAGAATTGAACCAAAATCTTGAAAAAATAGATTAAGTAGATGTCTACAGAACATTCCACCCCACATCAGAATATACAATCTTTTCAGCTGAACAGAGTATATTCTTCAAAATAACTGTATTCTAGCTCATAGAATATATATAAGTAAATGCAAAGGAATTGAAATTATCCCATGCATATTATCAAATCATAGTGCAATGAAATTATAAAGCAGAACTTAATGGAATGGAGACTAAAAAACAATACTAAGAATTACAGAATGGAAGAGTTGGTTTCCTTATCTCAAAAGGAAAGAAAATACTCAAATCCACACAATCAAGAATGAAAAGGGAAAAAAAAATCTTATGGAGGGGGCGGTGAGATGGCTCACTAGAATAAACGCTGCCTGGCAAACGGAAGGGGCTGAGTTCCACCCCCAGTTCTGCAAAATAAATAAATAAGAAAGAATGAAAAGGGTGAAGTCATAATGGACCCTGCAGAAATACACAAGATCATCTATACCTACTTTGAAAATTTGTATTCTAAAGGGCTGGACAAATAGCTCAGCGGATTAAAGCAACTGCAAGCAGGCTTAGGGTCCTGGGGTTCCAGCCCCGCCCCCGCTACGTGCCCAGGGTGTGTTGAGATGGCAGCTGAGACTGGGCAAGGTGGCACGCACCTGTAAGCCCAGCTCTTGGGATGCTGTAAACAGCCTTCCTTAAAGTACAAAAAAAAAAAGAAAAAGAAAAGAAAGAAAACGTGTATTCTAGTGAGATGTAAAATATAGAAGAAATGGACAGATTCCTAAATACATATGAATTACCAAAGATGATAAATCAATCTCATTCAATAAAATAGTAATTAAAACCTATTGAGCCAGGTAGAGAGCTCAGAATAATAAGCACCTGCCTGGCAAGTGCAAGGTTCTGAGTACAATCCCCAATATTGCAAAAAAAAAAGAAAGAAAAGTTCCTTAAAAACCTACCAACAAAGAAAAGCCCAGGCCCTCTCAGAATCATTGCTGAATTCTACAAGAAATTTATTTATTTATTCACTTTTTTACAGACTTAATTCATTTTATTTTTCTTGTGTAAAACCTTTTATGTTGTAGCTACTGCTGGAGCTTGAGTCCTCTGGACAGAGACTCTGGTGTGGGTTTTCATAAGATGGTCAGTGAATTCCTGATAGGGAGACTTGGTGAACACAGTCTCTTTCCAGAGGTCAGGGGCGAGATAGCTGTAGGTCTTGGAGATGGCATCAAAGGTGGCCTTAGCAAAGTTGCCCAAAGTAGCAGCCATCAGCAGCAGCTTCTTGGGCACAGGGGCTGAGACAATGCCAGTGCCTCTGGGGGCAGGGATCAAACGCACCAACACAGAGCCACAGCAGCCCATCACCTTGCAAGGAACAGTGTGGGGCTTGCCGATCTTGTTTCCCCAGTAGCCTCTCCTCATGAGGACAATGGAGAGCTTGGCCAGGATAATGGCCCCACAAATGGCAGTGGCTACTTCCTTGAAACACTTTACACCCAGGCCAACATGACCGTTGTAGGCCCCAATGGCGACAAATGCCTTGAACCTGGTCTGCTGGCCAGCACGAGTTTGCTTCTGCACAGGCATGATCTTCAGAACTTCATCCTTGAGGGATGTGCCCAGGAAAAAGTCAATAATCTCGGATTCCTTAATGGGTAAGGAAAAAAGGTAAATTTCCTCCAGCGACTCGATCTTCATGTCTTTGACCAGATGACCCAGCTTGGTGACAGGAATCCACTCTTTGTCCTCAGCCTTACCGCTGCAAGACCCGCAGCCTCACTGCTGCAAGACCTGCGGCCTTGGCCTAGGCCTCGCCCCCGGCCCCGGCCCCGGCCCCGGCCCCGGCCCCTGCCACGCCCGTGACCTCAAAGGCCACTGCCGAAGCCTCCTCGGAAGCCACCACGGCCTCCCATGCCTGGGCCCCCATGCACTTAACTAAATTTGAAATGGATCAAATATATAAATATTAAACATTAAATTTGCTGGAAAAATAGAGTAGGTAAAACTCAAAGATACTGGTGTAGGCAGACTTGAAGAATAAAATCCTCATTACAGAGAAACTATCACAAAGAATAAACAACTGAGATTTCATCTATTAAAGTTTTACACAGCAAGAGAAATCAACAGAGTGAAGAGACAACCCACAACGTGAGAAAAAATGTTTGCCACCTGTTCTGCAAACGAAGGATTATTACGGAGAATAAAGAAATCAAAAATATCAAACCTCCCAGACTGTTTTTTTTTTTTTGTGAAACCAAGGATAGAATTCAGGCCCTTGCACTTGCCAGGCAAGTGCTTATTCTACTGAGCTATCTTCCTGGCCCAAACCTCCGAAATTTAAAGATCAGGCCAAAAATGGGCAACTGAGGTGAATATGCACTTCTCACATGAAGAAATACAAACAGAAAATAAACATATGAAAAAATGTTCAACATCACTGCTCATTCAAGAGATGCAAACTAAAACAGCACTGAGAAGCCTGGCATGGTGGCATGCAACTGTAATCCCAGCACTTGGGAGGCTAAACACAGGAGGATCAGTACAAGTCCAATCTGTGTACTGAAACCCCGTAGACCCTGTTCTAAACACATAAAAAACAAAAAACAAACAAACAAACAACAACAAAAAAAAAAAACCCAACACTGAGATTCCATCTCACCCTGGAAAGAACAGCTATTATCAATCAACCAATAACAAATGCTGGAAGGGCTGTGGGGAAAAAGGAACCTATCTCCACTGTTGGTGGGAGTGTAGACTGGTGCAGCCACGGTGAAAATTAGTATGGAGAGTTCTTTAAAAAACTAGCATTTGAAATCCCATTTGACCCAGTTATTCGCCTGCTGACTATCTTCACAGAAAAATCATACCAAATACATGTGTCCATGTTTATAGAAGCAGAATTTTTAACAGCTGGATCTTGGAAACAATCTAAACTGTTATCAACCAAGGAATGGATAAAAATATGTAGTCTTTTTATACAATGGAGTACTACTATTCAGCGATAAAGGATA